CTCCTTGGATCGCATATCTATCTCCTTGATTTATTCCTTTGTTTTGTTGTAGCAAATGCTTCAATAGCTTTCCAAAAAAAAAAAGGGGGCACGCATGGCAAGGTTTTCAAACCTTGTACGAATATAAAACAATGTTATTCTACTCTTACAGTAAATATTCCATTGAACTATTGTTCTTTATTATTTTGTATCATTTGCCTATTTTAGAATCAAGCTGTGTCAGAGACTTAAAAAGGTTGCTTTGGAAACATGCTTTTTCAGAACTATTTCCAATGAAAATGCTCAAGTTTGGTCACACTTAAAATTGTTAATGTTTATGCTTTTCCAATGTAGAAAACCAGGTGTTTCTTTTCTTTTCTTTTCTTTTCTTTTCTTTTTAACTTGAATAAAAATAAACACACAGGCGTTAGAATGATCACAGAAATATCATTGTGTGATATTTAGTTCCTAATCACTTTTTGTAAGAAAGATAAAAAGAAGAGATAATGGTAAGTTAAAATTCTGATACTTGAACCTGGTTTCATAATACTACATAATAAATTATAATATATGCACAGATGGTATTACATATGTACTTTAAGAATTTCTCAAATATTTTGAAAATGCAGTACTTTGGTATTACATGTCATAATTATATATACTTATAATATGTGTTTTATATATTCTATATTTAGTTATAGAATATATAAAGTATTTACATATTACATATATAGTTATCTATAGTATTAGTTAGACAGAGGGCTCTAAATTTGAAAATATTTTGTATATCTAGTCTGAACAGTCTCTGAACCCAATAAAGTCACAATCCTCTACAACATTACAAAATAGAAACACACATTAGACAGAAAAACTCTTTATCATTCTTGTAAAGGCTCCACCTTTCATCGGATTACCCCTATATATACTCTAGATTGATTATTGGTTATAAGTGGCTAAATAGATTTTTTTTAAAAAAGGTTTGCAAAAGTCATTTAGACATCTGTAAAAGCTGATGACTCTAGAATGCTATATGAGACTTGTTATTAAGTAACAAAAAAGTAGTGAAGAGAGGTTAATGCACACTGAATGCATTATGCTTGGCAAGCTCTTTCATAATAACACACATAATTATCTGTAAGGATTACATTATCAGAGGCAAAAGGCTGCCACCCTACCCAAGGAACACCCCATATGGGCTTATTAACTGACAGAAGCATCGGTGTGGCTAGAGTAGACAAATAGAAAGGGATGGTTGCAGCAAATGAGGCTTAAAAGGTGACCTGATTTACATTCTCAAGGACCTTGTCAGGCGATTGAGGCACTTGAATTTGATTCCATGGGCGACAGAGAGCCAGTAGAGAATTCTATGTAAATGAGTGAAGTGATTCAATTCCATGTTTAGGAAGGTAACCAAAGGCAATATTGATAATACAGGAGGTGAGAGACACTAGAATAATCCTAAACAAAAGATAATAGAATTAACTTCAAGCAATCATAATAACGATAAGAGAAAAAGAGGTAGGTTGCCAAGACATTTTAGGGATAAAAATCCACATGCTTTGTAGAGCTAGTGGGTATATAAAGCAAAGTGAGGAAGAACACGGAAGAAAGGGCGACTTGGCCTCTGTCCTGGAATGACAGAGCGAAGCCATAGTTTCTGTTTATATGGCACATCACAATTTACAAAACACTTTCATTTCTACTGCATTCCATCGTTTCAGCAACCTGTGATAAACGAATATGTATTAAATCACACTTAGGGTTTATATAGTAATCTTCCAAGGGCTCTAACCACTACTAAATCATTTCTTTGTGAGGTGCTGTATGTAGGCACTTTTTCCAGCCATCTTTCTTTCCTTATAAAGTACAGGCTGACTTGTGTTCCCCTCTTCAAAGGCACGTGTATATACCTATATTGTCTTTGATTTCTCTCATGATATTAGATAAACGGACTTTTACAAATAGCTGGTTTAATGGGCATGAGTGTAGTAGATTGTGTCTGTGTGTCTCTGGGAGAAAAAAAATGATTTAGATAAACAGTACACTTCAGACTCTGACCACATGCATCATCTGAGGATTCTGATAAGATGCAGATTTGGATTCAGTGGGCCCTAGATAGGTCCAGCGTTTCCAACAAATTCCCCATGATGCAATGCTACTAGTGTATGGAACACATTTTGATTAGAAGAGATTTAGACACACACACACACCCTTTGCTTAAGCAGGGGTGCCATTCTGAGACAATCACAATGTATCTGATTTAAATTTTAAAATCACAACCATTTTCTCACAGGTTCCAAGGTGGATAATAGCTGCTGCCAATTGTATACATATTTTCCTGCAGACACAGAACTGCATTCCATTCGATCTCTGTTGGCAATCATGTCCTTAAGGGTTTCTAAGCACATCCGTGGCCTTTTTCAAGAAGAGATCTCATAAAGAATCACCTCATTGTTAGCTGTTAATTAATAGTTCTTTTACTAACAACTTGGATGTATGCCTCTGAATTTTGCAAGTACTTTAAAATTAAAATTACTTGCAAAGCATTTCAAATACTTTTTCTGGCAATGAAGTTGGCTTGGAAGCAGAATTCTTAACTCTCCTGCCACAGGTCTTTTTTTTATGATTCCATAGCTGTGTGGGTTTCCTTAATAGTCCGAAACTCCACAATATAATCCATGTGTGTTGAAAGACATCTGAAATCATTGACATGCCTCAGGGTCTCAAGATTAAGCAACCATCAGCTCTGCCCTCATGTAATTGGACATGTTTAGGTCTATCTCTGAAATGCCTTCTTTCTCTCTCTCCTCCTCTACCCTTCCACTTTCTCGTAGAGGAAACCCATTTATGGTTCAGACAGCGTTCTCAGGAAGGGCTTTTTTATTTGCACAGAAGTTCCTCAAGTCAAACCCCAGGAGATGGACAATATCTCTTTGTGTACATGACAAAGAGGTAACCTTGAAAGCATCGGCTTATATTTATGAGATTCTAAGCAAGAGCTCAGCCACCCTGGAAAAGAACAGGCTCCGTTCGCTGCTTAGGCATTAAAAGTCCTTTCTTTAGTGCCTTCTATGCCAGACAGCTCCAGGACACAGGTTGAAAAGTACAGGCTAATCAGTGTTGGCAGTAATTTCTCCAAAAGGTCCTGGGATCTTTGAGCTGGACGGCCCACAGAGAGTCTGTTGCCTAACCTCCTGTTCGGTTCAGGAATCCTTAACACAGCATCTTTGAAATCCATTCAAGGCACCATGAGTGCTTTCTGGAGGGCTGAGACCCTAGCTGGACAGCTCCAGTGGTTAAACATCTGCAGCTGTGAGCGGTCACGTGTGTTTCCTCCATTCTGCCCTGACATTTCACACTCTTTCTGCTCACCTCCTGCACTTATCTGGTCCTGCCCTTTCCATTTGACAGTGTTAATTAAGTCCTGGTTACAGCTTTCAGTATTATTACCTGAGCTCCCCCCAAATGACTTCACTTTAGTTAGCAGCTTGACGCTCATCAAAATATAGCGAGACCTGAACTTTGACATACACGTTATCGGCATCTCAGACTGCATCTTATCCCTGTATTTTGAGCCTCCGTGGCTCTTTTGGTTGCAAACATTTTACTGCTCTCTTCAGGAGCTGGATGAAGTCACTCTCACTACAGGAAGTGTGCACCTTTTCCCTCCTATTTTTAAATGCCCCGATAAAGAGTTAAACGATATGCATCAGGCCACACATATTGCTGGAGACCCGACTGGGAATATAGCCCAGGAAACTTGGCCCTCAGCCTGGTATACTTCTAACCACATGACCATCATTTCTAAAGACTGTAAATTTACGTAGTTCTCCTCCTGCAGACACAGGCAGGAGATAAGCACATCGCAAACGGGGCAAGTCAGTGCGTTGTTAAGCTTCTAAACTGAACAGTGTGTATTTTCCAGGGTTCCAGTTGCCACTGAGTGTGAATGGGCCACACTTCGCTCATGTTATCAGGGCACATGGCATTTCTGAGGGTCCTTTTATTATGGACTGCCCTAATACTCACATTCTTGGCTCTTGTCTTGCCAGACATGGATTTTGCTCCAATGGCATCTTTCTAAGAGCACTTCTGACTGTTGGCAGCAGCTGCTGCTGTTAAATTCTTCATGGCCTCTGTGCTGTGCCCTCCAATACACTTCCTGAGAAACTGAGCCACTCGCTGCTTAAAATTTCAACTATATGCTTCCAAACCTGAAACAGATGTTATCTTGGCTGCTGTCATTTGTCATGGGCTTGTCTATTTGCATTGCATACAAGGCAGGTTAACGACAGGTAATTTGCTGCCTCATTTTGTAAAGAGAAAAAGGGAGAAAGGGGGAGAGAGAGAGAGAGAGAGAGAGAGAGAGAGAGAGAGAGAGAGAGAGAGAGAGAGAGAGANGAGGGAGAGAGAGGAAATTAGAGAAATAAAGCCACTTGGAGAAGGAGTACAACCACAGAGCATCTATTATCCTAATATCATATGTTATAGTCTGGCTACTACTGATTTGCCTGGCACCCCTCTCAAATCATATTTGTGGCCGCCCAGATGAACTAAGTGAGCTCATCTTTTCATTTAATATCAGCTTGCTCTTTTCAGCTCCCATGTCATTTAGTGTCTTAAAAAAAAATGTACTGCTTGTTACTCAGTCGTCTGTGTTTTCAAGAACTCCCAGTCTTTTTTTTCTTTCTTCTTTTTCTATGGGAACCAGGAACTAGAAACTATTAAATGGGGGAAAATGAACCACTCACAGAGAAGGTGGAAGCCCAGAGAAAAAAGGGGTTTGTATTTTATGGTTTGTACTTTGTAAGCCGTGGGTGTGACTCAATTTCCTCACCACCCACATAAAAAAGGTTGCCACCCAATCACTGTTTTTTTTTTTTTTCTATCCCAAACCCCTCCCCTTTGATTTTGGCTAGGGGAGACCCTAGGAAAGACTGCCCTTTCTGGACGTTGCCGACTGTGACATATAAAAGCTGTTAGCTGCTCCTGGAGCCAGCAGCAGTCAAACCTTGCAGACTTTTGCTCTCTGAGAGTTTGTAATAAGACACACTCCTCTTACAAGAGTTTATACTACAACCTAGCAAAGAACTTTAAATTTTTGGAAGAACAAAACACTCATTTTGGCATTGTGCAGAGGTAAGCTGTTTAGTTCAACAAGTTTATTTTGCATGCATTGATTTTAAAGTAGCTCACATTTTTTTTTTTTAGAAATGAGATTGGATTATTATGACTTTTTGTATGTGTTCTATCATTGGTGTCCCCTATCTGTCTGGGAGAAATGATCAGCACATTGTCTGTTGTTACCTGGGATGCATTTCTCCTCTTCACTCTCAAGAGGAATTGCAATTCCTAAAAATTTCCCTCTGAAAAGAAATGGTCCAGGCATTTGGGGGCAAGGGGTTCACATTCACTTTAGGCTTAGTAGTCAGGCTGCGTGTTCGTCTCTAGCTGCAGGAAATTCCTCTTAGGACTCTGCCTTATAACACCAAGTAAAATGTAAAAATGCTACTCTAGGTCTCCTAGGTTTGAGAGTTCAATATGTGTTTGGATTGTTATTTTTTTAGAGAAAATCAAATCAAACCATGCTCTCACATAGTGACCTGTAAATTCAGATTCTCTGGCCCTCCTTTTTTTTGTTTTCCTTTCCTAGACCCTAACTCTACCTTTCTGATTTAAAGCAAAGTGAGCTCGGTGGCCTGTCGTCCACCCTCAGAATGACAGCACTCTCTGCCGTCAGCAGTGCGCTCCTGTTCTCCCTTCTCTGTGAAGCAAGCACTGTCGTCTTACTCAATTCCACTGACTCATCCTCGCCAACCAATAATTTCACTGATATTGAAGCAGCTCTCACAGCACAGCTAGGCTCTGCGGACGTCCCCAAAGCCAGGCGGAAGCGCTACATTTCGCAAAATGACATGATCGCCATTCTCGACTACCATAACCAGGTCCGGGGTAAAGTGTTCCCACCGGCAGCGAACATGGAATATATGGTAAGAGGAATTCGTTTTCTTTAAGTTTGGAGTGAGAATGCTGTATTTAAATTGTCTGTTACAAGGACCTAAAAAGTGTTTGCATGGTATGAGATACAGGGTGCGGGGGGCTTTTGACACATTTTAACTTAGAGGAGGTTCTTATGTGCCTGGTAAGCTTAAGTGCAGCTCCATCATACAATTAAGGGGTGGGATGGAGGAGTCTAAGTACCTTTTGTGAGTCCATAACCATCGATGACTCAGGTCTTATATACAAAACGCAGATAAAGAGTGGGGTATGCTGACTGATCACATTTGGAAGGTCCACTTTTTAAAGAAAGAAATTTCACATGGAACATTTTCTGTGCCATGTGAACCTACCAGCTAAAACCTTTCTTGAACATCATTTTTCTTTTTCAAGTTATAGGTTTTGTGGGCGCGATCTCTCCTCTGGGTAGGTGTCTTTTCCCTTTCTTGGGCAAAGCTCTTTCTGACGCTGGTCTGTTTGTACCTCCAAGAACATGCTGACTTGTTCCTCCTGCTGATTTAGGGCTTGTCGCTCAGATCCCAGGGCGGCCAGCACATGTGGACACTGTTCCAACATTCTTTGCTTGCTCTTAAAAATAGTCTCTCTGTGTTTAAATCATGTTACTTAGAGAGTTAAAAAAAAAAAAAGAATAAGTTGGTATTGAAAGGATAGACGTCTTTTTAATGTTTCTTTCTTTTGGGTTTTGAATTTATACAAGCTTATGGTTTAAATCCCAGCGCCTTCCCAGAGCACAGCGTGGAGACTATTTAAAGGCAGGGAGGACCACCAGGTGGGGTGGGCAGTGGTGGTACCAATAACAACGTTTCCTGAGTGCGGACCTGAAATTGTGGGATTTCTATCAGATTATAAATTCATCTGTTTTATTCAAATAAGTTCTTTAGGTTTGACTAAATGCAGATATCAGTGTCACAGGAAAACTAAATACTTGCCAAATCTTAAGAGTCATAGTTCACAGAAGCATAATTTAGTCTCTGAAAAATGCATTCTCCCAGGACTTTTTAAAGAAAGGAAAAGAAAATGCAATCAGAGGAAAAGCAAAATAGTGCATGAGGGGCAATGCAGTCACATGATTAAGAATTTGAGCTCCGGAATCTAAATGTTTGGGCTCACACCCCAGCCCTGGAATATAAACTGAGTGACTGCATTGCGTCATTGCATTTCATTTTCATCACCTCTAATATGAGGATTAAGGGAGCGTCTGCCACATAGAGCTGTTATGAGGAACGCATGAGTTGAGTGGTAGAGCAATCAGACCAGAGCCTATAGTGAAATAAATAGATGTTCAATAAACACTGAGCTTGGATGGGTTTCTGAGAACGTCTGTGGAGAGCGCCCAGTGAAAACCTAGTCAAGCTCTAAAAGCAGAAACAATTACACACATTGAAGAGGTGTTTCTAGGTGATGCACAGATGTAGAAAGAAGAGGAGCAACCATGTTTTGAAAGTTCCCAAAAATGATGAGAGAAGTGTGCATAAGATTCTGTGTGAGCTCAGAATGGTATCACGTCCAGGTTGCAGGTTTGGGGACTGCTTCCTGGAGGCGGTCACATCCCTGAGACTAAGGTGAGAATCAAGACGACTGCGCCGGCTTTGGAGACAAGCTTGTCTGGGCTGCAGTCCTAACTCTGCTGCTTCCCTTGTGGCCTTGCGTAAGTTCCTGAAGGTGTTAAGACCCAGTTCCCTTATCTGTAAAGTGGGAATGATAACTTGTGAAACAGCCAATCTGTATATAATGTAATTCACTGTTTTAATGATCTTGAGGGAAGAAGGGTCATCTCCGTAAAGCTGTAGGTAGGGTACAACCCAGCAGAAATAGCTTGGGAAAAGCCACATTTTTCTAGTTGTGTTTCTCCACTGATCAAGAATTAATTCATTCCACATGACTTTATTTAATTGCATCTATGTGCCAAGGACTTGGCTAATTGTTTCCACAGATGCTCGTTTACTAGCTTACGTTTTCCCTATGAGGTTGACTGTGATCTGCATTTTACAAATAGAATCACTCAGGCCCAGAGGGGTTAATCATTAAGCCAAGGTACATGGATCACTATGCATATGGAACAGGGTCTCTGGGATTAGGCTTTTGCTGTGTGTAATTTCAAAGCCTGTGCTTGTATTGGGAGCATCTTTTCATTTGCTAGAACAGCAAATGTCCCATGGTTGGAAACCCCTCCCCCCTCAGGTGTCAGACTAGCTTGTTTCCTTCTTTAGAATGCCAGTTGAATTCCTATAGTATTCATCTTCTATTTGTCATTCTCCTCTTATCTGCTTTTTCAAATATAGGAGCTACTGCAGACGACTTACTTTGGTAAGAACCAGATACAGTGCTGGTTATATAGTAGATGCTTTCTAAGTCCCCTAAGTCCTCTTTAACTTCATTAATGTTAATGAGAAACAGCAGCAGTTACAACACTAAGTTCTAGAAAGTAACATATGACTGTCTCAAGTGATCATGCAAACACTGCATAGAGTTCGTTGGCACATGTATTTATTCGCCTGCTATTTATTGAGCATTTACTACATGGTAGGCACGACTCTAAGCGCCAACAGAACAGACACTCCTTGGCCATCTGGGTGGGGAAGCAGACAGTAAACCAGATCCATAAGTAAATGACATAGTACATTAGAAGATAATAAGGTTCTGAAGAAAAACAAAGCAGGTCGTGGTGAGGCTGCGAAATTTAATAATGGTCTGGGACTTGCTTAGTGAGAGTGTTGTGGAGAGAGGTGAGAGAGTGGGCCACACTGATAAATGAGGAGACATCATTCCGGGCAGAGGAGGACAAAATTGATGAGTTCAGTTAGAAAAATACGCTCCATTTAGTGAAATCATAGGACTCTGAGTAAACAGACCTGTTAAAATAATTCCTTGGATCCCTCACAGAAACTCTGAGGGGAGTAGAATATATAATAGGTTGCTTGTAGGTCAGATGTGGCTGTCATCGGTAGGCCAGGTAAACAATATAGACCTCGATTGAACATTGTTACCTTTATTTTAACTTGTTCGACATTGATTTGGATTGTTAGCAACTGGAAAATGTTCCTAACCTCTACTATGTAACTCAAAAACTTGGGACATATAGCTCACTACAGCCACCAGCCACGTGTTCAAATTATCCCCGTCACTGAGGGATATCACCACAGAGCCTCATGGAAGATGGTCTTCAATTCAGGGCTCTTCCTAACAGCACCAGCCTTATTAGCAACCCCTCTCATCCCCAACTTTTCTCTCTGAACCTTTTTTTATGCCATTTCCTCTCCTTCTAATGTCACCTCATTGATGCCTTCCATTATTTATAATCCTACCCTTCAAGTTGTAATAAAAAATTTATATCCTTTAGTTATATTTTTTACATTCACAACCATAATTTCTCCATCTTCTGAAGCACCGTAACCTATTAGGCTCATCATACTGCTCTCATCATAATTGAACTTGATTTATAACTATTTGTGTATTTCTTGCAAACTTCTCAATTTTAAGCTTTCAGGGTGCTAAGTCTATGTTTATTCATCTTTGTATCACTAGTTGGGCAATTTCTTGCCTATAGACATTGCTCTACCATTATTTGATGAATTTAGTTGCAATCCCTAGGAATTGTTTTATATTTATAGGTAGCATCAATTTCATTACAGTTGGCCCTCTACAGCCTCAGGTTCACCATCTGTGGATTCAACCAATCGGGGATCAAAATTATTTGAAAAAAATGTTACATTGTTGCTGATGTGTGCTATGTAGTCAGACCTACGATGTACAGGCTTTTCTTTTGTTGTCATTATTCCCTAAACAATACAGTCTAACAACTATTTACATAGCATTCACACGGTATTAGGTATTATAAGTAAGCTAGAGATGATTTAAAGTACACAGCAGTATGTGCAGATGTGATATGCAAATACTACGCCATTTTATATAAGGGACTTGAGCATCTGAGGATTTTAGCTATCTGTGGGGTCCAAACCCCACAGATACCAAACCCCAAAAATAATGAGGGATAACTATATTATTTACATCTTAATAGAAGTTTTTCATCATTTAAAGTCATATTTTATCCCATGCACCCAAAATAAAAAAGTTTTATATAAATTCAAAAAAGTAATAATGTAGATAGGGCTTCAGATATGCAAGTCACACTCCTTTACTCTTGACTTCTGTTTTACAATTAGTTTATTGACAAATTTCCAGAGTGCCTTGGACACCAGCTGTTTTTCATTCTTCCTAAGGGCAGCTTAAACCATGACTCTCAACCGCAAACCACACTAGTTTCTTAGAATAAGAATTATCCCCAAAAGAATGAAATGGTGAAACTCACACATGGAGTAAAATTTGTAGGAGAGTCTCTGAATCCAAGTCAATTGGATAAATTAATTAACAAAAATTGAAGTCCCTTGATGAAGACAGGCTGACATCCAGAAATAACAGAAAACTCTGTCTGTAAAGTATAAACAAAACAGACAAAAAAAAACCCCAAAAAACCCAGGAAGAGAAACCCACTGAGCATATAAATCAATATAACACACGGCTGCACAAGATTGATGTCATAAAAGAGGTCCAAAGAAATACCATGGAGAAGTCAAAGAAAGAAGTGCTAATCTCTAGTTGGCAAAATCCTGAAGACTCCTTGGACGAGAGGCATTTGAAATAACTAGGAAGGGGCAGGACTGGCTGTTATGGTGGGTTAAACAGGGCATGAACAAAATCGCCAGGAGGCAGAAAAAGCCTAGCGCGTTAGCCATGTTTTTGAGGAGTCTGAGAAAAGACTGAGGATCCCTTAATACAACAGCTTAGGGAGGCTGTGGAGGTTTCACCCGGGTCAGAGATGCATTTTAGAAAGATGACCCTGGGCCGGCCGAGTGGCGCGATGGTTAAGAACTGGCTTGGGATGCCAGAGGGCCCCAGTTCGGATCCCACATATGAGGGCCAGTGACACTGCCCTTCACAGCTAAGATGCTGAACAACAGCTCAACCTGGAGCT